AAGCTTCCTTCCTCTCCTTCAGCAATGTCCATTTACAGCCTCAGCATCAGGAGAATGCCCTCAGAATGTCAGAGTAAATCAGTTTTCATAGCTATTCTTTCATTTTCTGTTCTGCAGAGACTGACGAGAGGGTTCCAGCTGACACCAAAATCACGACGTCCATTTCTTTCCCTCAGGCCACCAACTGTGAGAGAACAAATTTCAGTCACACCTGACCCACGGTGAACTTGTTTTTTATCCACTGACACAGAGGTATAAAGCAAGTCTTGAGTTCTTCTATCCCCTGTTAACTGTTACTCCTAATTCAAACTTTACTCTTAAAAAGTACCTAAGATCAAATAGGTTATAGCTGGCTATACAGTATGTAGCATATGGTGAGGTGGAAACTGCAGCAGCTTCATCTATAGGTACCTCAGATAAGAAGATGCATTTTAAAGCACACCTGATCCATTAAGTAGGAGGTTTTTGTGGCCGTATCTGTTATTGCCTATGTTCACTGGCACAATAAATCCCAGGAAGATCAGAGCTCACGTGGTTGCATTCAAAACTGGCAAGATGCCTTGCGGAGATTACAAACTCAGAAGATCCTACTGAAACTTCAGAAAGATCACCCTCAGAAGGTCTGATCACAATATCTCCCAAAGGGATAATAAAGTATCTATAAAAGGTATGCTACTGCATACAGTTTTGTCACTAGAAACACAGATTTTCTCTCAGTGTTAAATACTGATATTCCCAACTCAGTTCCTTGACAGAATATAGCTGGTTCTGCCTTAAGGAGTTTGAAAGTTGCATCTCTAATGCATTTCATAATCTTGTGCAGATTTTTATCTTTACTGGATTATGCCTATGCGTGCTCAAAGGAGTATCTCTCGATGACAAATTTGCAAGATGTCTCCAACCAATATATTGAATTCTAGCCAAAAGGTCTGTCAAAAAGGTTAGCACACTAGCTGAGCCATTGAACAACACAGTGTCAATTCCTCCACCGACCTCCATCACCATAAGTAAGTAATTAGTCCCTCCAGCCTCACTGGTCATGCCGGAAAGACAGTCAAGATCTTGGCACTGTGCCTTATTTGGCTCTGTTCATCCTTTTTGCTACAGGGCATCCAAACAGTTCAGACTCTCGTTGTGACAAGTGGTGCCAAATTTCTTCTAGGAAGGTTTCTGGGACAACTTACCTGCAACACATTGGACTCAAATCAGCCTTGCACTACTAGCTATGCCAGTCAGAACCATTTCTGAACCATCTGCGGTAGTATAGATGTATATAAAAGATGTGGTTAGACCTGCATAAAAGCTTAACATGGGCCTCTTCCTGGTGTATCCAAGGCCATTATCTAAATAAGTACGGCTGCAAAAACTACCTGTGAAACATTAGTATGAACTCAGCCAATCCCTGAAATACAGATATATCCCGTGCTTCTGTTCCATACGTGCAAAGCAGGAGCAACAGCAGGGTAACACGTACATAGAAGGATTGTGCCTCAAGAAGCCATTAAATACCTAAGCCTTATTGTGTACACTTGGGGTACAGAACATGGAAAAAAATATTCTATATTTTTTTCTGTCTCTTCTACCTGTTCATACAAAAGTCTGCATGAATTCTGAAGTGAATGTTCAGTGAAGACTCTAAAGTGCAGGTATGAGGGTAAAAATTAGCTAAGCTTGTTGGCAGCACATTCACACTGGTCTGAGAATTTGCACCACCTTTCATTTAGACCCAATACGCCCCTGACTGAGAGCAGAGCTCAGAATCTGTGGAATATAATACTGGTCTCTGATCATTTTTCTGCCAAACGGGTACAAGGATAGCTCAAATTATCACTTTTAACAAAGCCTTCATACAAAAGAAAAAATCCATTTTAGTGATGCTCATGACAGTCAGCCAGACCATGCCCTCTTGCACACCAGTTTCCTTGCAGACATGAGTTTCCATACCACTTCCTTACTGTAGCATATCCCATTCTTGAGCACTGGTATCTCCATATTTGACAGCAAAGTCGAACATTAATGGAAATGGACTCTGGCACCCAGGCATAAATCTGCCAAAGACAAAACCCTTTGCATGTGGGTTTAACTGAATAGCTTGTTGGTACTCAATCTTTTCCTTGAGTGCTTTCAACTTTTCAGCATCCTGATACCAGATCTGAGATCATATAACACTATGGGAAGCCCCAGACAAGAATGCACCCAATGACATAATTTTCACTGCTGTTGCTGGTACATCAGGAGAAAGTATGGACAAAACAGCAGCTGCTGCTGGTGTGTCATGAGGGAGTAAGGACAAACAGCAAACACCAGTTCAAGACAAAGATTAGGGCCATGGTATCTTCAAGTAACTGAAACCGGGCAATGGGGGCAAAACAGGGCTCCCTGAACCAAAGCAAGACCATATATGGAAGGAAGTTAAGATGGAGATCAGAAGGACCCCAAAAGATGAGCACCGAGCTCTCAAAGGACCCTCACGGACCACTGAAGGAACCGAGGGCATGCACACGCGAGTGGGGTATATTGAAATTAATTCCTAAGAATGTATTTTTATGTTCATTCCAGGAAATTTAATGCGTATGTATGTAATAGAGAAATGTAAACTTTGCCATCACATATTACGAGCTATCACCCATACATCCAGTGCTGTAACAGGCAGAATGCCTACTTCCTAATACTACATTGGTGTTAAGAGGTTTATTCCAGACTTTCGGTGACAACTGGGCTAACTTACCATGGTGAGTTTGCTGAAACTATTCGAATGCTCGGTCATGCTGTAATTAAAGCAAACCCAAACACTATTTCCCCTGCAAGATTTCTGTCTCCTAGTGCACATGCAACTGACACAAACGTGACTTAACAGTTTCTATTAACAGTGTCTATTAACAGTGTCTATTAACAGTGTCTATTTCTTTTGCCGTCGCCCTTCTGCGCCGCCCCACACGCTCCGGCGCCCACGCAGCGCGCGAGCCGCCCCCCGCACGCACAAAATGGC